AGGTAATTTAAATTTATTTCAATTTTTTTTGGTGGTTACAAGGTTGGTTGAATTTACCGATTTCTTTTGAGATAGGGTACAGAAAATAACAGATATACTATAAAGTTTTACTTAAAAACACGTTTGAAACGCATTTAGAAGGTTTTAGGGATTACACAAAAGAAAATTTGAGATTTTGAGATGAGGAAAAGTATTTTTTATTTTAGCATCAAAATTAAGTTGCACATAGACTATTCAAAATAAATACTCAATATATTCATGGACAAATCTTTATTTTATTTTATTAAAAATACTTCACTAAAAAATATGATTTTTTGTAAGTGAAAGACTTATAATATTAACTGAAAGACTGCAAAATTTTGTGAAGATATACACACAATATAGAAAGTTAGAAGTATTATATCTATAAAGACTAAACGTGTACAAAGAGGTCACGAGGTCGGTCAAATTGACATATGTTTAAACTTGTTCCGAATATATATATATTATTTTGAAAATAAGTGAAGTGCATGCTGAATTTATCATTAACAAGTCACAGACACCTACTGTAGAAGAATCCTAAGCCCAACTACAACACAGTATATATTTATATTATTAAGAAGTATAAGTAAAAGCCTTTTAACTGACAATTGGTGACCATAACCATAACTATTAAATCTGACAGTAAATTACTGTATTAATAAATGAAAAGATTATGTGTAGAATAAAAAACAAAGTATTTAAATATAAATTTTCAACTAAGTAAGCCTTTTCTAAGAACTAAAAGAGTAAAAGTAAAGAAGAATGTGTAACAAATGTCAACCACACACTATCTGCCAGATTCAGTGCCAACAAGGCTTCCTGCCCAATACCAGTGTTAATCAGGCCAGCTGGGATACAACAGACATGGTAGTGATTGAGATGTTATTTGTAATATCAAATTGCATGAACAACAACTGTTATGGTGTAAACTAGATTGTAATTTTTACTTTTATAGTTGCTTTTTTTTTATATGTCATTTACAAATCTTTAAATCAAAATTAAATGTTGTCTTTTGTTTATTGCAAGTTCATAAGTATGATACTGGTAATTAAAAACTGCGTATGAGAGTAAAATAAATATTGGAACTGACCTTATGGCTAGTACATGATTGATATATAACATTATGTGACTGTTGTAAGAGAAGCAATCCAACCAATCAGCAATCATGTTTGTCAAGCCACAACTATCTTTAAGGTAACTTCTTGGAACTATGCATATTCATAAATAACGGGACTGTCAAATGATGAAATGGAATGTTTCATAGTTGTTCAATACGTTAGTTATTTTGTAAATATTTATATATACCTGTTTACCACTTTCAATTTATAGTGACATGAGCAATTCAAACAATTGAAAAAAAAACCCTTATTGGAAAGTAATGGGACATTCCAAATTTCCAATCACTCTGTTACCATGTGCTCTTTGACAACCATCCCAAACAATGAACTAATATACAGTGCAGTACAAATGGGGAGCCACATGACATATCATCTCAAGAACTTTGCTGGAAAAGTCTTTGTAGTTCTCCACCAAACACACATTGTATATTAGTTCTGTGCATAGGTTGCTGTTATCGATCGTTTGCTATGGGCCGTAAAGAAATGGGTGTGCTTCGTAATGTGCGAAGCATTGTTTTTCACCTTTCTTTTGTTCAGTGTATCAGCTTATGTAGATTATGAGAAAAAGACAGATTGTTTTAGCTGATGATATTTTATTCTATGGTGAATAATGTTTCAAGCCAAAAGGAAAAGTACATGGCTGTGATTGAAAGCATACGTACAAATCAGAAGATTGTTGTTGTGTTGGTGTTATTTTTAATTTCTCGGCAAACGATTTTCCGTGATTGGAAAATTCTACCAATTCAGACTGTTGCCTGATTATGCAATAATTGGCCATTCCGATTGCCGACCTAATTATTGGGAAAATACTGATCAATTTTATGGTAGCCGTCAATCAGTGGTTAAAAGCATACAAGTATTAATGCACATATACTTCAGAAAGCTTAATTTTAATAGAAATACTCATTATGTATCAAACTACAGTGACAGATTTTTTAACAGATCATCTACATGTCCAAACAATACATTAAGGATTATTTTGTCATCACTGCACTATTATCACATTTCCTTTAAGAAGGTGAATGAGATGAATAATAAAAACTTACAAATTAGATGGGCACTTACATTCGAAAGGCTTCAAATGCTTTCCAAGGCGCGATAGGAATGTTACACTTTGGTGTAGCAGCTTGCGTTGGCCAAAAACCAGTAGTTAGGACTCTAACATTCAAATCCACCCCATACAAACAAGTCTGCAAGAAAATAACATATATATATGTATTCATACATACAACTCGAACACATGGCATAATTGCAAGCAGTAACAATTACTATCATTTTATTAGCCATAATAATTCCTCATTTCACAAGATAATTTAAAATGGTTAATTTAAAAAGGGGAATAGGGTTTGTCAAAAAAAGCCTACAAGCCTACAACTAGGGACTTTATAAAAAAGTAAACAAATCAAGCAAAATAGTGTCTACATTATTTTCTCAAGCTACAAATCCCTATTTTAACTCCATGTTACAGTACTTATCACTTTTAATGGAGTCAAAATAGGTATCTGTAGCTCGAGAAAATAATAAAGACACTATTTCCAGCCTAGTTTGTTTACTTTTGTTTAGATTCCCTAGTTGTAGGCTTGAAATTATAATCTTTGCATTTTGATTCAAATTGTTTCTGTACTTTTTTGATGATCCCTATTCCACTTTTATAAATTATATCAAAAATTTGTTATCATCTTGTTTCTTAAGTTTTTTTTATGTACACTTATGGAGAATATATTTTAAGCTACATATGTACATATGCATTCAGTTGAATATCACACGTTTTTCAACAGATTATTGCTGCATTGGCTATTTTCCACCCAACCATTATTTACTAAACCAGGTGGTTTTGTGACTGAGGTTTCATTTAAACACGTTTAACAAGCATCAGTACAAAGGAAGTCATTCACAACAATACTGAATATATTGTGTATTTATAGCCAGATAAATCAATTTTCAAGGAAAAATAATCAACCTTTTAAATAGGTCATGGACATTCGCAGCATTTCATATAGTATATCTGTCTAGGTTTTGGTGCAAAATAGCTAGCCAAGTTTGCTGTAGGCTTAGGTAACAAAAATATGAATACTAATATATTAATAATAATACTAAAATATGCACTCACAATTTCAGTGAAATCCAAAAATCAGTAGAATAGATCACCTCTCACAAGAGAGAAATCTACTATGCTAATCATCTGCTGTTAGAAAACTCACTGAAATAGTCGCAAAAAAGCACGTAAAGATAAAGTACAACAGCGAACATGATAAATGATAAATCCTCAACATGGTAGTTTCCAATTAATGCGCATTAATAAAACACCAGATTTTTTTCAATGACAGAAAGTGAAGGACTTAGAGAAATTCTTGAGGACAAGAAAATGAAGGCAATTGAATTAATGTTAAAACTACCCTATGACATACTCAATACTGCATTCATTACTACTGTCCAAGTTTCAGATAAAATATTAATAGCCATTTTTTCTGTACCGGTTCATAAAACTATAATCAATAATAATAAGGCTGGAGACACCGTTATAAATATACACATTGTTTACTTACATAAAACAAAGCATTTCCATCTAGTATTAAATTGTGCATTTATGACTAGTATAATGGTGCTTAAATGGTTTCTACATTTCTGTGATGTTTCAAAAAGCTCATGTTGGTAGTGAAGAAGAACTTAGAAAATTTTAGAGGGTGGAAACCTTGACTTTTAAGAATCAACTTAAAAATAGCCCTACAACCTTCACATGAATTTGTTTTGTAGCTATGCATAGATGTTGGCACAGCATACCTAGCGATTTTTTGCTGTAGGCTTGGTTGTTTGAATGGCTTTGAAGAGAAACTTGGCCACTAGCAATAAAAAACTGATAAAATCTCTCCTTCTCTTTCAAGTATCAACATAAAAATAGTCCCATGACCTGCACTGGAGTTTTTTAGTAGGTTTGTCCAGATCTGAATAAAATATTCAGAGCCATTCTTTCTGTAGGCTTGTGAAACAACAATAGTATGAATCATAATATGAAGAACAAATGGATGAATTTTGTCTAACAATCGGAAAATCAGATTTTTTATTAATATTTTAGCAGCCAGAAGGTCTTGAGTGTTGTTTCAAGACCAAGTCTGATTTTAAGATGGTTTTCGCCCATATGTTCTATTATAATTATTGGATGAACCCTATTATGAACCACAATTATTATACATTCATTATATTTTCATGCCTTAAGTAGTAAAAACCAAACTAAACTAATGTATGTACACTAGCCTCTCAGAAACTCAGAATTCCACTTTTTTCTTCGGTGCTACAGATACAAGGTGATCAGATTTTCAAACCACAAAACAAGGACGGACACACACACTTTCAGATCTTAAAACTGGGATCCCCCCTTTTGTTTTAGGGAAAATAATAAACAATCAATTATAAAAATTATGAATAACATCAAGTGAAACATACATTATTGCTGTTATAGACACCTTTCTGATAAGTGAATTTTTTTTTTTAGCAACTTATTAGCCAAAAGTTTCTGATAAAATTCTGAGCAATTGTCATTCATGTTCATCCTCAAGTTCCTTTAGATTAATGATTCCTGACATGAAAATCAAACATCAGCTATGAACTGCACCTACCATCTGTATTCAACTGTCTCTCTTTGTTTGGGTTAGTATGCTCAGTGACTTTAGAAATAAAAACATCATGGCATCTGCTGCAGCCTGCCTTATAGCCAACTTCAGAACAAGCAGTAAACACTATGCTGAGCCATTTCAGGCTGTATGGTAATTTCCCTACTCAGTTAAAAAAAATTTTAACTGTTGATTCAAAGTTATCAGAGACAGAAAATACTGAATAGTAGTATAAAACACTTATAGATTACTGACAAAAATGAAAACTATGATATTTACGGCACCCTGAAAAGATCTGTGGGGACACCAGAATAATATTTCAAAAAGTGGGAATGTTCTGGCTAAATCAGAAAGTCTGGTCACCATATACAGAACAAGTTGAACTTGTACAAATAACCACAAAAACTTACATGCCAATATACTGGTTTCACAAGAAGTTATTTAATTCTTTTTTCTGCAAGTTTAAACTCTGCCAAATTAGCTTAAATCACTGAAGAATACATTTACAGAACATTACATACATGACAGTAAATACAAACATAACATATTAACTTCTATCAAACAGTCTACTTTCATATCATGTATGTTTTTAATACTACTACTTTGAAAAAGCACACCAACACAAGTAACTATGGTGACCATACTCTAAGCAACACTGGTTGTGTGTATATATGTGTTGTACTTTTCAAACAAATAAGTAGCATTAATAACATTTCTCAATTGTTTGTTCAATTTTGTATAAAGAGACTAACATTACTAAAATTATATGATAAGAATATAAGTTACTGTTATGCATTGTAAAAATGTTTTCTATATCATTTAGTGATTTGGGGTGGGGGGATAATCATACTTTTCAAAGACAATAGAATATGCTACAGTAATAAATTGTAAAAAATCCTTTCTCCAACACTAATTAAATAATGATAAATCTTCTACCATGTACTAACATGTTATAGTAAACTGATCAACATTTGATTTCTTTCACACACACACCCCTTCCAAGAGGATTAATTATAATTTTAAATGAATCAAGAGTATTAAATCAATGGCCCTAACAATTTAACAATATGTCTGCTGAATAATACAGAAGAATAAATTGGTAGTATCAGTACTAAATATTCTTCAAACCTATAAAAACATTTTTACTGTGGTGAGTTTCTGACAATCAAAACATCATATATACAACATACAGATCACCATTATTATAAGCCTATTATTACTCTTCAAGAACATTCAGTGGGTATTCAAATGACAATTTCATTATTTCAAACAGCATGTCTGCTGAACAATTCAGAATATAGTGTAGGTATATGTGCACTCTACTGGGAATGTTTCTAAAATCATTTTCAACATTAGAATTGATTCCTTAAATGTGCTCTTTATAAAACTTTAGATGGTATATTTACTTTTCACTTTGTAGGTTATTTCATGGCCAACAAAGGTCACAGCATTAAAAAGTCAACTACCTATACCTACATGCATCAGAAGGGTGGGAGGGTCAAGTGTTATTAAGTGTAAAAGAAATGGGTTTCTTTGGCTTTAAGAAATGTCTATTATATTTAATTATAAAAAAAAAGCCAAAATTAGTTCAGGCTCTCTTGAACAGCTTTGCAGGGGTCATACACCGTTCAAACTTCAATTAAACCCACTCCCTAAGGTCTCATCTGATAAAAGATACTTCTTTAGGTTCAGGTTACATAATATGACTACACCCCCGCCCATAAAAAAAACAAAAAAACTTTCATGTCAGAATGATCCACAATATAAGCAGAATTTAAAAATCTTAAAAGATGAAATACTGATATCTAAGACAAGGAAAGGGAGACTGAGCTCTCCAATGCTACAAACAATGAGAGCATTTGTTTAGAATAATTGTATAGACCTGTTGTGCACAAACTATGGAGTGCACCACACAATCGGTATGGGGGGTGCAATTGTGACTATAAAAGTATATAAATATTAGGTGAAAGTTCGATGAGGAGGAACCCACTTTGAGACTAATAATGGTTGGAGATGGCTCGAATGGGTAATGAAGAAAAACTTTAATATAAGTTTAAAATAACAGCTGTTATGTTAAACATATATTAAAGTTTTTCTTCATTACCCATTCAAACCATCTCAAACCATTATTAGGGGTGAAAGTATAAACTTAAAAATAAAGAAGGTTTAAAAACTACTGTACAATTATTACAACTATTAAGTAACATAATAACATTAATTAACATGTACAGTACATAAACAAATGGGTTAGAGCATGGAGCTTTGTCAGCATGCCAGCTGCAAAAGGAAAAACCATAGGTTAATTCTACACTTAAAAGTAAATAAAAAGAAAGGCTACACAGCCAAAATATTGTACATTTCGCTGTCTTTTTCCTTAATTTTCAGCATGAAATTAATCATTCATATACACAAATATTTCTGTATTTGAACAGTTTCATACAAACAGGCAAAAGTCTTCTCACTCCAGGAATAGGAAATTATTTTTTTCTTGGATAGTGGCTGTTGAGTGTCCCAAAACATTTCATCTCACTGTTTACTGGCAATAATTTGAAATCTATAAGTTATAAAACAAAGTAGTTGCCCTTCAAACCACTGATTATTTTGCCTTATTCTATAAGTGGAACTGAGTTGACAGGCGACACTGAACAGTCATCCCTGAACTTGTTTAATTAATATTCCATACCCTCCACTTACCTAATTAAATCTCCATTTATTGTTTTATCATTGTGTATTTGTTACTTTTGCCACTAGCTGAAGAACAGACTTGATTAATTCAGCATAAAATAGCCATTTATGCTGTTTACATATCACAAGTGCAATGTTTACAAATTTAATTTTATTAAAAGCATTCAAAAACTCAGGCAGCAATACCCCATCTTACTCAGGTCACAGATATATATTAAATATGAGAAACTGGAAACCCTAATTATCATACTACAATGATTATAAACCAATGATATGGAAATATAGCTTTTGGTCATGACTAAATTTCATGCAAAAATCAACATAGCTGTTACATGGATGGCCCAGTTATTGCAAGAATTTTTTCCTACACATTTGTCAATTTGTTAGTCTCAAGTTTAGGACATTAGTGTACATTTATTAGTTTGTCAAAAACAGAGATAAGTGGGTATTATATATTGACAAAAAACGATCTCCCATTTCTTCAACTGATGGCTCAGAAGTAAAGAAACAGAAGAAATAATAAAATAATAGTGATAATGAAGAATAACAAATTGATGGTTCTATAGCTGGACCAAGCACTTCCTTGGTTTCTGTTGGTAAACTGAACACAAAACTAAAACTAAAGTGCATTAGTGCCAGGAGGATTATTTAAAATTTGGTTTCACTTAATGAAAAACAACCATAGTGCATTGTTCACAGGTTTTAACTAATGACAGAATGAAGCCAAATAAACTTATTTGGCATTTGGATATCAAAAACCCTGAGCATATGGGTAAAACCACTGAGTTTTTCAAGCAAGAAGTGACACAACTGAAAGAGCAAAGCAGCTTGCTTGAAAAGCAGGTCACTGTTCCATCAAAAGCATTGAAAATTTCTTTACAAGCATCTTATTTGACTGGGTTTGGTATATTTTGGATTTTGAGTGAAGCTAAATGAGGGCTATCTGCACTAGATGTTCCTAATTTGGTAGTGATAAACTAGAAGGAAGGCAGCCAGTCAACACCACCCATTGCCAACTCCTGGGCTACTCTTTTACCAATGAATAGTGAGATTAGCCATCACAAATGTCCACATTGTTGAAAGGGTGAGCATGTTTGGTGTAGCAGGAATTCAAACCTGCTACCCTCAGATTGTGAATCAAGTACCCTAACCACTGGGCCATGCCAGGCCTATTTGATTGGGAAAAGCACTGAAACCACAGAATATAGGAGAGACACTGGTTCTTCTTGCTGCCATATATGTGTGTGTGAAATAATGCATGAAGAGAACTATTGTGAGGCCCTCAAGTCTATCCCTTTATCAGGTGACACAGCCTTGAGGCATACCGATAAAAATGTAATTGATGACACACATTCAGAACAGTCCAAAATTTGACATACAACTTAATGAAACCACATTACAAATTTAACTCAGCTTCTGGCATTTGTACAATACTGTTATGAAGAGGAAATATGTAAAGAGTTGTTTTTGCCAAGCACTGAAGAGCTACTGTGGAAGCCATCGTCTCTCTTGTTGATGAGTCTTTCACCACAAAGAAATTACATCCCAAAGCTACAAGATGCTGTAAGTGTTGTGAACTTTGTGAAAATAAAAGCCTTGAACTGCAGGCTGTTTTCCATTCATTTTGGAGAAATGGGATCCTTTTACGGCAAGCTCATGCTACCTACAGAGTTGCACTGGTTGTCTCGCAGGAAGGTACTCAGTTGCATTGTGCAGCAGAAAAATGAACTCTGTAATTTTTATTAGACTATAATTCCACACTGGCAGCACATTTTATGGGAGAAAAGTGGCTACTAGTACTATGTTACCTGGCTGACATTTTTGATAAACTCAACAACCTTAACTTGCTACTGGAAGGTCAGAATAACCATATTTTGCAGCTAAGTGACAGTGTCTGCATTTTGCAAGAAATTTGTACTGTTGAAAAAATCGAAACTGAAACATTTCCTTGCCTCAATGAATTCTTGGAAGAAAATGAATTAAATCATAGTTTTATTCATCATATTTCTATGAATCTCAAAAACTTCAATGTCAATTTGCAGCTCACTTCCAAGACTTAATGGGAGAACATAACTGGATAATTGCTCATCTGCTAGAGGCAGCTCAAGAATAACTCATTTAACTATACAATAATAAAACACTTAAGGCAGATTAAAGCCAAAACCTCTTGGGAACTTCTAGATGCTAATTCTCAAAGAATACACTGACTGTCAAGATGGACATTGAATGTAATTTTCCCTTGTTTAATTTTTATGGTGACCTCTGTACTCTTTGTATAAAAGACCACTGGTCTAGACCATGATTGGATATAGACTGACATCTATAGCTCCTACTTCTCAGCAAATAACTGAAGGTAGGTACATGAAATGTACAGTCACTGCACATGTGATAACATTTCAAGTGTTGTTTTATTTTTACTATGAAGAGTACATTAAAGAAACTCCAGAACTGACTTCACCTATTATTGAAGGCAAGCATCAATTTTTGGAATAGTTATGTACTTAAAATAATATTGATGCTGCATAAGAATCTCTCAATATATTACTTTCAAGAATAGAGTCCCATACACTACTAAAGATCAACAATTCACTGAAGAATAACTGACTAGCTACTCCAATTTCACTGTGACTTGGATGTGGATAAATATCATTTTGTCCTGGCTTCAATTTAATAGATATACATGCCCAGCAAGGGTTAGAGCTTGTTCCCTTTGTCTCTTCTGAGAAACTGTGCATATACTTCTTTAGCCATAATGACATTAAGTATGCACAACATATGCCACAATACATTTTACAGATGTAGAACCTTTAAAACACAGACCCAGATGTATAAGAAGAATTTCAAAAAGGAAATTTCTGTGGGAAGAAAAGCTGCAAATTCTTCTGCATTATCATTTGATCATGCATTGGAAGAAGAAAATATAAAAGATGAAATTCCTTAGTGATATCAAAGGGGTTACCAGTAACAATGTTGAGGTTTGTCCAGCTGTCTGAACTCCCAAAACTCTGCAGTGAGTCAAAGACTTGGTGGTTCTTGTCATAACAGCAGTTATGCCTGAAAACATGAAGCAATACATTTTGCAAAGTGATTATGTTGAATTAGAAGCAAACAAAGTCTTTGATTCAAACTACATCACTGGCCAAGAAAACCCATGAGACAAAATGATAGAACTGAAGCTAAAACATTTAGCTCATCAGAGCAAAAAACGAAAGTTATGATACAAAACTGTTGATAATTTGTTTATGTTTACATTAATATGTAAAACATAGAAGAAACTGCATTTCCTAAATGGTGCAGGATTTTATTAGAGCTTTATGCATTTCACAAAACAGTGTATTGTAGTTAGTGACTTTTCTGTGAATAACAAAGATTAAGATTTTGCATCAAAATAAAGATGCTAATAAATAGCTAGAATATTTAATGATACAATCACCACACAATACCTAATTTTGACTGGACTTAGTGTGCTGTAACAAAGCAAATTGAATATTAAATTTGTAAAAGTTCATGTGATAAGTTTGAATGAGTAGTCCTATCCATCTAGAAACTTCTGAGTGTATCTTTAAAGTGTTGCCATTCTTTCACAGATAAACTGTTTACTAAAAAGACCGATAATGTTGTGGCTAGTAGCTTTTACACTTTATTACTTTAATTAATAAAACATTTGTTTTAATAAAAAAATTGATTCAAAACCAAAACTAACACAGACTGTTCAAAACCATGTATAGTATTAACAAGATGCATTTTGGATTATTGGATGTTTTAGTATCAATGGGGGCAGTGAAGTTTATTACTTTAAATTTAAAAATAATTTGACATAATTTAGGTACTACTTCATACAAATCAAACAGAAGAGTTCAGTTTTGCACTATTTGAAGAACGAGGAATATCAATATTTGAAAACAAAACTGTTAGGACAAGTTCACTATATTTTGTTAGCATTATACCATTAAAGTTATATTTTAATTTTGACTTGCCAGAGAAATGGAAGTTGAATACTGTAAGGATGGAACATAACAAAGCTAACGGCTGAGGTTTAAATTAGAAATCTGCCTTTAATTTTATGATTTCACCAAAAATATTTAATCCCTACAATAACCTTGTACCCTACTTGTTTATTAAATATGTCTTTATGCATGTGGAAGAATATATTTAGAACATGACACTGCATTTGTCATGTTGTTATCTTGATTAATGCACTTGCGGCAGAAACTTCTTTTTGCGATGGACTTTATCTCCTAATTTCAAAGACTATATCCTTAAGGGACAAAGTTCTTCAAACTATAAAATACTATACAAAAATCACATTATGAACAATAGCAAAATTAATCACAAACAAATTTGGCTGAATTCTGTCATCTGCTTTTATTATGAACTCTTCAAGTTTATTCTATTTAGTATGAAACTTAAAGAGGTTACTTACATATAATCACAAACTTACTATGGAACACTAATGATACAAATTTATTATACTTATTGGCCAAAATACCCAAACATATTCTAAACCAAAGGAAATAACTTACACCCCAAGTTTGAACATGAGTTTTGAACTCTTCCATCATGGTATTAGATACAGACATGTCTTTAAACATTCCTTCCAACTTCGAAGTAAATTGACATCCACACTCAGTCTGAAATACAAAAATACATCTCATATTTCTATAATAAAGCTTTAGTAACATATAAATAATTCTTTACACCAAATGATAATTAATGAGATGATATATTAGACATAGTTATTAAAGCAAATATTACAATCTTCCACTAGTAAACTAAATATACTTCATTGCCTTTTTTTTTTTTATCAACATACTTGTAATACAAAGTTGAGGACAGGTTTTCTTTCTGTTTTTTATGGACAACTTGCCTACAGAATTTTGGTAAAGGATGTTTAAGTAAACTTATGAGAATCTTCATAAGACTACATGTTTTGTGTAGTTCACTTTGTCATTTTCCTAAAAACATTTTGTGTGCAAGTTTAGTTTATCAAAATGGAATACACATGCTCAAAAAAGGTAAAGTAATTAATGCTGACTAATTAAATTTAGTAGTGAAGGATAATAATGATGCCTTTTTGTTTTAATAATACTAAAAGTTTTGGTACTTGTAGAGAAAGGGCATACAAGGACCAGTTAAGCAAACATATTTATATATATTAATAGTAGTAGTAACTGCCTTTCAGACAGCCTAAGGTAAAATACTTAATCTTTAACCTCTGGAATGTAACCGACATATAGAAATCTGATACTTATAAACAAAGCAACAGTGTATGTATTTTAGAATCTGCACCTACAAGGTTATTATTGTTCCTTTGTCACTACAACAATATCCAGATAAAACCTATCAGGGTAAGCCTTCATTTTGCTTGTATAGAGAAGTCTCGTTTAAAAGGACCTTTACCTGGAAAATAACATACACTTACCACAAACTATTTCACCATACTCATATTTTATATTATTATAACTGCACATGTACAGCAGTTCAAAATTCATTTTTCTTGTAACCCTAATGCAAACTTCAAAATATACACAGATCTCACATATTTTTTTAAAATTTTCATATATTACACAAAAACGTTAAATTAATGAATCCCTATCAATTCAAAAATATTGATAACAAATTTTAACTTCATAAAGGAGATTTTACATCATACAGATTTTAGGCCTAATGAGAGCTGAATAAATCTGTTGTAGCAAAAAGACATTGATAGTTACTTTGAAATTTTCTACAGTACAAAAAACAGGTGTATGTTTTGGACTGTTCATAATAATAAAAATTTTCAACTTTGGTTTATTAAGGTTTGCATAACCTATATACTGTAACTTGATATTTGTTTAGCTGGAAAATATTTGATTCATTCTATAAAAAATCATCCAACTAGTAACACCCTTTTACCTCTGATTTGTACTACACTTAATAATATGCAGGATTGTACAGGCAAAAGAACAAAAATAAGCACTTTTCAGCCCAAATTTGTTAATGGAGTCCAAATTATACAGAGGCCAAAATTTGGCTAATAGATGACCTTTTGACTTATATTTAACTGTTTGTGCTAGGGACTTAGGTTAGGTGTCCTTTTACTGGAAATTACACGAGTATTTCACAACTGATATACAGGCCTACCAACATTAAAGTTTGGAAAAAAAATAGTAATCCCTACTAGGAGAAGGGAAAAATAGCAAAAATTGGAAATGAAAATGGTGTTGCTACTAATTAGGTTTTATCTAATACTTACTAATTACAGTGTACTACTGTAAGAGACATGTAAGTTACACTTTGAGAATAATACAATATCATTAAACTTTTTGAATTACTCATGCCTAAACTTCTGCTCACTATAAACTTTTCTTTGTTGGAGTCATTGGGAATGAAGCAGAACCACATTTTTTTGCCATTTTCCTCTCAAAAAATGATCAGCCACCCTAGAAGCTTACTACTTACATGCTTTTTTAATAGATTATTTCAAGCATTTGTAAAATTGAAATGCAAATCAGAGAGCAGTGAATTATTTTCAGAAAATTATTAGTAAAAAAAAAAAGTTGGTGAAGAAATAACAAAACAATTTGTAGTGGAATAACATGAAAAAAACCTTTGACTTTAAGACAAAATTCCAAAACCCAAGTTTAGAACATCATAGAAAATTCAAAGTCTCTGCTTCTTATCTATAAAGTTACAAAAAGGTAACATTATTGTTTGTTGGCTAGGAAAATATTAAACCTAATTAAGCCTGATCATCTCATTCCAAAGAAATCTGAGTAACATTCCAATAATATGACCTGTAAAATATCTAGAATATTTTATTTGAATATGATGACATGACTAAGGTAATAACATGGTAAAATTGAACATGAACTTGTAGTCTCTTGAAGATGATGTGAGGTTGGACTCTCAATGCTATGTAGTTCTTAAGAAAATAAGGATGAATCTGAATAGTACTATATACCCATAATAGTCTTGATTTGAACTTTATCAACTTTACCCTTAGTTTTCTGTAGCTGCACTGAATTTGAAGGTACAAAGATGAAAGGTTATGCAATTTCAAATTCCTTGCACCTGGTCATTTAAACAATATTCCTGAAACATGGACAGCTCTGAAAGATAAATTTGAGTTTAAAATCTTCACTAACATTCTACATGCTGTACATGCTTGAAATCAAGGCCTTACTATACTGCATGGCACAATATTATCCATCTGGAAGAATATGAACCAACTTTCCTCCAATGTTGTATTGGCCATGACATCTGATTCAAACAAAACATTTTTGTTCCAGCTATTTAAAGGTCATGTTATTGAATTTTGTTCAGATTTCTTTGGAACAAAAGTGATCAATTTATCAACTAACTGATAATGTTATCGGCTATCTAGACAAAATTATTACTATGCTACATATTTTGATATAAATCATGCACTTACACCTTAACAACACTTCAAAGTCAAGATTAAAATCTCATTTGGAAAGTAATGAGTGTTTATGATATATTGAAAGACAAGAATTTTGTAATCCATGCTTGATTAATCCAAATATCACTTTCAAACTCATAATCACTTAGGTACAGAAGTTCATGATTTTCATAATAGTGAGAATTGTAGATTGAGCTGACCCAGTAAACATATGCGTTCAAATTATCTTAAATAATATATTCTAGCACATCAATAAGATTGCTATTATGATCCACATCAAGACAAAATACATTAAAATAACTTCCATATACTGATCCACAAAGTGTAAACTAACAGGTTCATATATTTACATCTCAATCAACTTATGTTGTAATTAAATGTGCCTAATAAAAAATTTAAATGTTTAACATTTTTAAACTTCTTACCTTGAGTTTAGAGATCATATTTTTTTCAGAATCATCAGACACACTTTTATTTAATAAAAGGCGCTTTGCTAAATGCTGTTTGTAATATCTCTCAAATACATCTTTTTCTTGGAGGTATCTAAATAACACCATAGTTTTGTCTAACACTTGTTCTATTTCTTGCTCTGTCATCTGAAAATAAATATATTTACTATCTTTACTTAAAATCAACATTTACATTAGTTGCCTCACTAAACAAGAGCAGGAAATAATGTTGATAAATGGGCTGATTTTGAATAAAACAAAAAACTATTTTTTTTTGCATTTACCTGGAGGGTAGTGAAATGTGGCAAATCCAAATGCCTATAAACACTGCTATGTTCTTGTTTGTAAAGTTCATGATTTGAAAAGTTCTTGTTAACATAAATGGGTGAAGAAAACAGCATAATCTAACAAAAATATTTTGATTCTGTTAAAAGCTTCAATTTGAATCAACAACATTGAAAGAAAAAGGTAAAAGTATTACACTTTGATTCTGACAATGGAGTGATAAAAAAACACAAAATAATTAAAAACAGCCCTAATTTCTTAGTAACTATTAGAAGATGACAGAATATTTTGCTGAGGTTCTACCCGTGGGACTCTTGTATTTAGTTCTTTTCATAAGTGATTTTCAATGTGTGGGATGCTGAATTTCTACTTTATAGGTACAGTGAGCATGAAACTTATTAAACTTCAGTTTCATGCTCACCGTACCGATAGGCAGAAACTCAACAGCCCTTATTTCTATCTAATTAACTAGCTCTGATCAAATACTGTTATATTCACATACCAATAACAGCAGAATCAAATACATAGTGCTTTACATTAAAACAACATAATTAAAAAATACTACAGTTACACATTTGAATATATAAACTGATAAATCTGTGAATGATGTGACACCATCCTGTAGAGCTTCAGACTTCTTGCACAGTTTGTATATAAACCAGATCTTCTACTGTAAACATATATATATGACAGATAGGATTTTTATCTTTAGTAACAATTTATACAAAATTCAGATTATATGAATAAATTATCTATACATTGTATGTGTATAACAAAAACCTAAATTTAAATGTTCTCAATTTTATAAAAATACAGATTTCTACCTTTGCTCTAACTCTAATGTAAAAAAAATATGTTAATTTAAATCTTCAGCTATTACTATTAGGTATATTCTAAAACATGATGAAACACACAGATAACATCTTTCTCTGTAATCTGATACTTTTGGATAAATTACAAAGTTCTTTTTGAGATCTATTTCTACTGGACACTAATCATAGCATGTAACTACAAATTTAATGTACGTAAGACTTCTATCTTACTGAAAAAAAAATTACAACAATTATCTAAAAGAGAAAACCACAATAACAATATTAGTCATCTCCTGACTGTCAATTTAGCAGATGTAGTCAATTATTTATTTTAAGTAATAATACTTTCACCAATATCTAATTGTAAAGTGAATACATTTCTATATCATTTATATGTATATAACCTAATCACTGGTCCCCATTAGATACTGTAGTGTTCCATTTATGTACAAAACCATAAACAGACTCATCAATTTCAAACTGTGCATATCACTGACCTTCTGTTTTCAAAGAGTTTAACTATATCTAGCCCTAATATTTCAATACAAAAAATAGATCCTTCGTGATTATTATGGCTTTAATCATGTTTTCACACACAGGTAGCCTCCACAGATAATGAACACACAAGTATAGGTCCAAAGAGAAATATGCTTTTTCAGTCAAGATCAATTCAAACATGAATAAGTCTATTCTTAGTTGACTGAAACCTAGGCAATCTTAAGTTAAAATATACAATTGGTCAAGGACCAATTGATGAAATAATATCACCAGAAACCAGCAATGCTAACAACAGTGGCATCAAAGCCCCTTTAGTTTTGTCAAGTATGACATCAATGAAACCACTAAAAAATAATGCAAAGAGAAAACTGAACTTAAAGATAATATGATGTTTTGTACAGTAAACCTGAAAGCTAGTGACAAGAACAAAAGACTAGTTACTAATATATTTGTGTCTTGTTCAAGCAACATTCAAATGTAAGATAATAACATAACCTACAGATCAACCTCATGAAGAGAAAAGATGATGATAATGTAGGTTTATTGATAATGATTTTTAATAGATTCTTTTGAAAATTATGACCATAACAGTAACTTTATTTACTTTCTACTCATTAATTTCTTTTAAACTTACATTTATATCATCAGCTAGATCTATTAACTAGTTTTATATTACTGGTGGATCATGGTGATATTTGTCCTTTAAATTTACATAAATATGTTGACCAGAAGTATAATTACACTGGTAGATAATTTTTCTAATGATTTCCAGAATGATAAGAAAACAGCTTTATTAATAAATTAATGTAATCTAATTATAAAAAATGTATCTATCTATCTATCTATCTATATATATTACTCTATTATTAAATATATATACAAATTTAGTAACATTTATTAAAAATTTATGTTTTAAAATGTTTATTTTCATTTTATATCCCTTTCCTTGGTACATGTTTTTTTATTTATTAGAAAACATAAATGTGTATTACACCATTAGTAATTATCCCACTGTGAATCAACTATTAAAGCTTGCAACAAATTAGTAATAATATGTAATACACAGGATTATAAAGTTGTTAGGAGGTAAACAAGGTAATTTCTATAACTGTTCTGTACATACTTAAAAAGTAAACTAAAACTTTTTATTCGCAGCTAAAAGTTAAGCACTGTAGGGCCAATACAAAAATTCTATCTTATACAGGTCAGACTGGTCAAGTGTAACTTGCCCATGGGAAGCCTTATCTTGTCCAGATTACATACTTTGGGGCAGCAGAACATTTTGAAAAATTGGCAGAGCCAGAATTTTAATCTCCCTTTTTCATTACCTTTGTAAATTGAGTGAATACTTAATTTTAAAACTTGAAGTGTGAAACTAACCATTATGTATCAAAATACACTTCACATTTTTTACACTTCGGTGTTGATAAAGAAATAGTCACTTTGGAATCCAAAATACATGTAAAACAATAGCATTTAACTTGGATATGGAACAGCTACCCATAAAGTAAATATGCTATTAGTTCTTCAACTAAACAATGAGTATACATGCTTTCACAATATAATACACCTTGAAAAATAATTGTTTCTATTAACTACTTTCATATTGCTAATCAAGAATCATTATTTTTTCACTTCAAAGTGCTTCCATGAAAAACTATAGTTTTTAAATAATAGTCAATTCCTAATTATAACATGGTATTAGATATCACCATTCATGAGGCTACATATAAGATCATTATATTATTTCTGGAAAATGAAAAAGAGCACTGTGAAGCAAAGGCATGGCAAATAATTGCATTCATTGAAAAAAAAAAATCTATAAATAATTAGAACAAAAACATACCCCCTTCACACCTTTCTTCAGTTTGTCATCAATAAATAAAGATAAATACTCTGGAGACTTGGGATTGATGTTTAAGAAGTACTCAAAATCTGATGCAATCATCTGCTTGAAAAATCTGTCATTTCCAAATGAGTGATGTAAGAAGTGATCAAACCTGTCCTTGAGATCTAAAAGGCTCTAATGGAAAAGTTAAAATCAAATTTATTTATTTATTTTTATAATTACTTCTTCATAAACCCAAAAAACCATTAATGTATTACAATCATTCCAACAACAACTCAACCTTAGAAGTCAATAGATAACTTGCACAAAAAACTGAAAATTAAATTTTCATCAAACTATTCATAAAATTTAAAAAATATGATACGTACATGATAATGTATTTAAAATATCTGTATTACCATTCATATATGGTATTAAAGAAAACTTTTTATAAATATACATGTTTTTTCAGTTAACATTAGAAATATATTTTGTAATGGTTATAAACGTTCCACTGAATAGACAAACATAACTCTGTATCTTTATTATTTCTTTTCAATGATTATTACAAACAATTTAATAAGTGTCCATGCCAATGTACCTGTACAAAAGTTAAAGCATCTCCCTTGCCTCCTTCATCTTCTGTGACAAGGGCTTTTCCTTGTTCTCTCAAGTAAGAGCTAACACAATCAGCCATGGTCTTCAATCCATCTCGTACCCTGCTGAATAATTTATACATGCGACCCAAGTCTGAAAGTAAAAGTAATTTAGATTTAGAAAAAAAATAATTTTGAGTGTTTTGAAGACATAAACATAAAGTAACTTTGAAACTAAGAAATTTTAAGAGTAAACAAACAAAACTTTGTTTTTAGTCCTGGTATATCAGGAGGCTAAAATTCTAGTTTTATCATACTTCTTGTATATTACAAAAACTGTTGAAGCTTTCTAGGTATTCTTTCTGATTCTGAGATGATTAACTTTTAACGTGCGGGAAAAAAACCCTTTATTTAATTTTCAGCTTATTGCTAAATTAAATTAAGCATGAAAGAAAAATAATGAATAGCTTAGCATCTCAAGTGAGGAACATATAGAAAATGTCTGGTCAAATGTAAATGAAGAAAACTACTGCCAATTGGGAAGTTGATGGAGAGAGAGTTAGTGCAGAAAATTAGTAACATTAATTCTGAAAACTCTAATTGGATTGTCTAAAACACAGAAATAATACATGTCTAGGTGTTAGATGTCTAGAAGAAAGAAAACTGTGTCAATTACTAGGGCTGATACTATGCTACATGTATCTAGATAAGTTTTACCAATGGTTTGTTACAAAGTTTGAGTCTTGACAATAAAATTTATTGAGAAACAGATGCATAATGTTAAGTTTTAAAATATTTAGTGTAATCAAATATAGTTCCCTGCTACAATTTGAAGTAATTCTAGAAAGAAAAAAAAAGGATAATTTTGATTTATTTTGTATTATTTATGGTGGTTATGAATCTGGTCAAACTGACCAACTTCACATAAAATTATAGTACTCAGTATAGTAGATAAGAGAAGAGGATTTATCGAAAAAATAAGTTGGAAATTTAATTCAAAGGTTTTTAGAGATTACACAAAAGAAATTTATTAATTTTTAGATAGAGAAAAAAGTATTTTTAATCTTACCATGAAAATTGCTTTACACTCGGAACAGTGACTACTTTGACTCCATATATTAAAATATTAATTTTTAGCAAAAATTCTTCATTATAAATTTAATTTGTTCTGTACAAAAGGCTTGTAATGTTTATTTAAAGCTTGCCAAATTTTGAGAATATACATAAATCATATCAGATGATGTATCAATACAATCATATCACAGCTTTATGATACGATACTCATATCATATTGCTGTATTGCCACACCTCTAGTAATTACGTGACAAACTCCTGTTCCTACACCCAAAAGAAAAAAGCTAAAAAAAGGAAATATGGTATATGATATTCAAGCACATTTAGATCTTCCAGAAAAGGAAGGCTTTCTCTATTTTTCTGACAAAAGGTTTGAAAATATTTAGCTTGAGTTAAAAGCAAAAATTTGTAGTAATAGAAAGTACATTTGCTTTTATATTGTACATGTATATAAATGGTTAAAATGTTTTCTAACTAAAAGTAAAAACATCTTAACATACATCAAATAGCTAAAATAACCTTAACACATTAGTTACTCCAGAATTACTAATCATGAAACATAAGAACTGAGAATAATATATTTTATTACTAGTTAGTTCATAATACAATGATGTTATCTGGCAATATCTGCCTACAGAAAGATATTACCACAAATGGTATATAAAATACTGGCACTAGTTTTTTGTGTCTCCACAACGTCACAAATACAAGTAACAAAAATATCCACTAGATGTTTCAGGATGTCTTAACTGTTGTAAAATACATTTACCATCTAATTAAGGTACATCCAATCTCATACTCATTATGTAAGCTATACCAGTTATATACCACATCTAAAAAAGTACATCATTAAATATTTGGGATGACAACACTGACAATTTGGTTTGCAAGTCAAGACTTACACAAAATACCATATAACAACAGAGAAGTGAGAAGAGAAAAAAAATCCAACCAATATGCTATTTCTAAGTTATGTTACTATAAATCAAGCTGTAAATGTGATTTATACTTAAAATTATTATTTAAAAACAATAAACAACACAGTTCCAGATAGAGAACAATGTAAACTATGGTACAAGTTGAGAAAAGAAAAAATGACTAAGCCAGTCAGACACCTATTTGTATCACGATTTTCCCATTTATAGTTTTATCATAAATTTAAAGTTTGATTAGTCAACATCAAGATTTTCAGAAAAAGAGAGACATATACTTGGAGACTTTCTTTCTCTTTCACATAGTTGTGCACAACTTGTTAAAAGCCAAACTGCCAAAAAAAAGAAAAACAACTTAAAGCTATATAACATTTGAAGAATTAGCATTATCTTCTTAATTAGGACTAAAAACAGGTCATTTACTTCAAGTCACATTCCTCACTTAATTCTCTTTCCCTAAAGCTTTACCTAGGTGACCTAAATATAGTAAACTTGAACTAATTTGAACTATGAGGGTCAATGAAAACAATACTGTCTGTTCCTGTTGTGTTTAAAATTGATCAAATAAATTTACAAATTTTTACTTATGACCAAAGATAAAAAAAAAACTTTTTTTTTTTCAGGCTTTGTACCACAGTTGCTAAAAAATAAACAAACTGTAATGCAAACCTTGATTTAGTTTAATAAAGAATGTATTTCTTAGAGCTACACATCTTTCAGTCTATGGTAAAATTCTTTCCAAGGTTTCCACACAGTAAGGTCAGTAAATTATTCAGTCATGTAAATTCTTGATTATTGATGACAAATTAAAAAAGTTTCATTAACACTCTGAACTGGTTGATAATTGTTTCATATTCATAAACAAAGAAATATCAAATATTAACCTATTTGATATTGCAAAGTCTAAAAGTTGTTACTTAACTTTAAAATATTTTTCTTTATGTTTGTATGCGTATTCATACAGTATATAAAAAAAAAACATCACTGTTACAGACACACACACAGTGACCATTCAAATAAGACATTATACTTTTCCTAGCAAAACGTAATTCTCTGGAAGCATTTATCAAACCTGATTTTACTGTTTCAAGGTCTCTTTGGATAGGTTAAAACTACATGAACTTTAAAATCTCTTACTAATAACTTAAACTCTAGTGCTGCATAATTCTTAATATCAAATATACTCTGAAGTTTATCCTATTCCTCTATATTTTTCAAGATAATTAAAACTTTTCTGCTTCAGTCAGTTATTCCACAGTGTAAGTACAGGAAGATGATAGTTTCAGGAAGTTTTTTTTTTTATAGAAATACTGATTTTCAAAATTCATGAAAAAATATAATAACATTTTTCATTCCTTTTCCAGTATGCATGTGCTTTTGTTTCTATGTAAGCACTAGAAGTAAAGTAAGTTTGCTGTACATAAGGGCATCTCATTCACCATACTTCATATATTTATATACAAGTATCAATTTTATATTTAATAACCAAAGTGTATAAAATGAATAGATGTAGTTTTTGAAGGTATAAATATTGAAGCAAAAAATTGAACAACACACACAGCCTTTTGTATACAATTCATGCAAAAGTTAAGGACATGGTACCAATTTCATAATTATTACAAGTTTTGCATCACTATTACACTGAAAATTATAATGATATTAACTCTTTCAGCACAGGCTTGTACCATTTTGTGCTTCTTATTTTCATGCTATAACTTTTAAATTAGTAGGCGAATGTTAACGAAATTTGTCAGTTTATCAGTATACATTACAATGCTTTCATATGCAAAATATCTAATTTTTTTTTAAGTCTTAAGGTTTATAAAGTCTTTCTCATGTTGCCTATCTATCATGCAAAGTAATATTCATTTTTAGATTAAAAATACTTTTATACATCAGAAAATTTTGAAATTTCACATGCAAAATCTTGATAATGTCAAAATAGTTACCAAATGTTTCTTAAGAAAAATCTTTATATTTTATCTGTTATTTTCAGTAATTAATCTCTATACGAGTTTGGTAGATTTGACCCATTTCACAACCACCATAAGAAATTAGGAAATAAATATAAATTATGCCTCTCATTCTAGAAGGAACACAAATTATAACACAAAAACATAAATGTTTAGACTAAATAGCTTAAACTTCATAACATTATACATTTATATATATATTTATTATATTGACCTTTCAGCCATGCCTGGCTAACAATACAGAAGTTACAATAACGTGGCTCACGTGCACTCATGTTACTGTATCAAATAACATAAAACTGACCTTTGGTCTGTACAAAGTATCTTGTCTTGGCTGTGTTTTAGTCAACTAGTATTTTGTAAAATACAGTTACATTTCAATTATTATACATTATATATGTGTATAGATTATTGCTTATTTGAAACAAGTACTTAAACATATTTTTCCTAAAACACAGAACAGTAAATAAAGAAGTAAAGCAAACAATTATCTCTTTTAGTTACGACTTTTGTACTCGGTTGCTGTTTGATGTAGGTTGCTAAGCCTTTAAAAATTTTGCACGTGGAGGATATGACGCAAAATATTTTTTTTAACGTTTTATATATATACATTTGAGTAATAAAAAATAATAAGTTACTATATTAATAGCATAGAATTCCACTATAATTTATAAAGTTTAGTAACTAAGATGTATTTTAGTCTAAAGACACAACCTACCTCATTGAAATAATGGTTCAAAAGAAAGAAATGGAGCCAAGCCCATTAAAATGGCTGAGAAAGCCACTAGGGGGACATTCTGAGCTTCCGATTGGTTATTCATATCATATATAGAAATAAGTGTATATAAGGGAGAGTTTCCAAAAATGGAAAGAGGTTGGTGGGGTGCAACTGTGTTTGATTCGGTACATGAATGATATCTCAACAAATAGAAACGATATGAGGTTCTTATTTTATATTCTAGATTGTCAAAATTGGTAATTTGAGTTTGTAATTCGTACAAAACAATAGGCTTTGTATTTTGACTTCACAAACATCTAATTTGAACCAGTGCTGCATTCAACATACCA